GGCCGCGGCCCTATACAGTCGGCTCGGCCCAAGCTGGGGCGCGCACCACCACGACACCCCCTTGCACCCCCGCCCCCGCAATGCACTACTCCCCCATGGCACGGTTCGATGAGAACGTCTGGGGGGTCTCCTCCTCCGCCCGCGAAGAGAGGAGAGGAGATAGATAGGCAGGGCGCCGCGAGGGACCGCGACCGCGGGACGTGAAATAGTCGATGGTCTGTCTGACTAAACGCTCGTTACCTAATCACTTCCCGGCCGCGATAGCTGTCGTCGCATTTACACAGTGGTGTGTTTTATTTTCCCGTCTTTTTTGTCGCTGGGGCGGATTTATTTTTGTCGTGGTGATGGTGGCTGGTGCGCTGCGGCAGGGGCTGCCCAGCCCGCCCCGCCGGGTGGTGGTGGTGGTGTCTCGCGCTGCCCCGGGGCTCGTGGGGCGGGCTGTAAATTGACTGCTGACCGCGGCGATTTCTTTCGCCGGTGTCCGTTCATCATGGGGCAGATTGTTATCGATGCCGTGCCGAGGCTGCGCCCCCCCCCCCCCGCCCTCTCCCGCTGTGGCCCGCATACGCACAATACACAACCCCTCCCCCTCTGCTCCCCTCCGTCTCTCTCTCGCGCCCCTGAGGTGTTCATATCCTCCTCTCCCTCCCCGCCACTCCCCCGCCCGATCGTCGATTGGCCGAATTACGAGCGACTCCCGTCGTCGGGGCCGCGCCGCACTTGCACGCTTTTTATCATGCGGCCGTCCAGTTGAGGTTCTCCTCATGCGGGCGGTGTGGCGGCGGTCCCCCCCCCCCCTCCCGCCTCCCGCGGCCCTCCCCTGACAGCCCCCGCGCGCCGCCGATATGAGAGCAGACACACGCCCTCATCAGCCGATATTATTGTTCCTCCGGGAACGCCTCGAGTGAAAGGGAGAGAGTATACGCGGCGGGTGGGGGTGGGGGACCGGAAGGGAGATCCTGGAGTCATGAAGCAAGCGTGCCGCATCTTCCAGCGTCCAGCTTCTGCTGCCGCCGCGGGGGTGTCGTGATCGCGCACGTGCCGCACGCCCCCGCCCCGCCCCGCCGCGCTGCGTCCTTCCTATGTATCTGGGGCGGGGCGGGGCGGGGCGGGGCGGGGCCGCGGTGTGTGGTGACATTGATTGTGTGGTGTTGCAACGCAACGGTGTGGCACGCCTCGGCGGACCTCTTGCTCTGCCGTGTTGCGGACGTTGTTGTTTGCGTATCCGTTTTGGTTCGCTCCTCGCGCGGGGTCCTCCTCCCCGCCGTCCCGCCGTCCCGCCGTCCGGTTCGAACGCTCTGGAATGTTGTACCGGTGTGCGTCGCCGTCCAATTTCGCGCTACTGTATACTCCCCTGCCTCCTCGTGGACTCGCGGCCTCGTCCTGCCCCTGAGCCCCTCCCCGCGGTATGCGCGCCGCGGTCGGCCCGGGGCGTCCCTCCTCCCCTCGCCCGCTCGGCCCTCGTGCCCCTCCGTCCCTCCCGCCCCTCTCCGCTAGGCTCTCCTTCTTCTAGCCGGCAGGCAGGCGGCGGCGCGCCCGGCCCGAGCCGAGCCCGGCCGAGCCGCGAGCGAGTCGAGCCGAAAGCGAAAGGGGAAAGTCCTCGGCGTACGGACTCTACCCTCCCCTCCCCGCCCCGGTACCGCCACCGCGCCGCGGCCGCGCAGGTACCGTAGTCGGTCCCGTAACCCTTTCTGCCCCAGCCCGGTTCGGCCGGCACGGCGTGGATCTGTTGCCTCTAGCCGGCGTTGAACCGGGCTACCGGCGGCCGGCGACTTGCAGTTACAATAGCACGGGGCGGTTGCCTACCCGGGCAGGCTGTGCTAGCCACTATACTGATTGCTCAGGGTTGCCTACCCATGTAGGCGGCCTTGTCCTCAGTGGAGGCAAACAGTTGCCAGTCCTTCCTGGCGGTGGTGTCCCTAATGAAGGGAATGGGTTGCCTACTCGTGGAGGCGCTTCCGTGGCGGCTGCGCCTGGGCGCTTCTGCCCGGCAGAGACCACCGCGCGCCCTCACGCTTGCGCCACTCCGGCGCTCGGAGTAGTCATTTCCTGACCCGGGCGAGGTGAGGTGAGAAGGGGCGGGGCGGGGCGCCTGATGAGGCCGTCAGGTGTGGTGGCGCGCCGGCACGCGGCGGGCTCAAAGGATGGAGTTCGCCGACTCTGTCGGGAGAGAAAGTACCCTCCCCCCTGCACCTCACCCGACCCTAGTGTGCTGCAATAAATATGGCATGTTCGGGAGCCCGCATCCAGAGCACCCGCGCGGGCGAGCGAGCGAGTCAGTGGGTGTTGTTTTCGCGCTCCTCCCTCGCCTTTTGTCTGTCATTACGCGGAGGCCATACGACACCCAAACTGCCGTTACTAGGTACAATTTTCGCCTCTTTTTCTAAAAACAAAGCAAGATGAGACCTGGCACATCAAAAATCAAACTCGTTTGCCGTTTGATGTGAGTGCCAACGAGGCGTGTGGCAGCGACTCTAATTGGCTTCACGGCCCCATCTGTCCCCGCCACACCTCCGCTACACCACTGTCCCCCCATCTCAGTGCTTAAATTTAGTTCCGGTCACATCCACCGACAACGGCGCCGCGGCCAGACCACACGCCATGATAAGGTAGCCGGGCGATGACGCTCGTTTCCAACATCTCGATCGTTGTTTTCCCACCGTCGCCTTGGAGAAATCTTGGTCCGCTTTTGCACCTAAGGGCCTGCGTATGAAACTTTGATTTTCCACGTACGCAGCCGAGCAGAACTGACGACATTTTCGCTCCACCACCAGCATGGCGGCGCATGGTGCAAGGGGGTGAGGCGGTTGGGTTTTCTCTCTCCTCTTCTCCGTGTTTTCACGTTCGCGACGACGCCGCGGCTCCCCACTCACCCAGCCGCGCTGCTCTCGCACGCCAAGTGCGACACAGAGACACAAACGAAACAATAAAGCGTCAAAATCCGAGAGCGTGAAAACAAGTGAGATTTTCCTCGGAAGGATGTGGGGTGGTGGTGCTGGGCGGCTGCGGTCTAGTCGCGGGGGGAGAGTGGCGGGGGAGAGGGGTGCCGTCGTCTTGGCGCTGCCGGAAGCGCAGGGCGCAGGGCCACTGGTGCGGCACGTAGGTATTGATTGCAGAGTAGTGTATGGTCGGTCCCGAGCAACGCGCCCTGCCGCCGCCGCGGAAGGTGACTCCGCCTGGCGATGGGACAGCAAGGCTCATGTCAGATGGATGGATCAGCCAAGGAATGAATGAATGATGAATGGAATGAGCGCGAACGACTGCGACGGACTCGGCATGTCGCACGGCGCGAGCGGCTTAGTAGTGCGCAGGTTTTTTGAAACGGGGATCACTTCATAAGTCGTGAGGATGACACCCTGCCTCGCTTCCTAATGTCAACAGCCGAGCATCAGAGCCGAGCCGAGCCGAGCCGAGCCAAGCCGAGCCGAGGCGAGCCAAGCCGAGCCGCGCGCCGCGACTTCCGGCATGGTGCCGCTTGTCCTAGTGGGTCGCAAGCACCCAAGGGAGGTGAAGGGATAGAGGAATAGACCGGCGAGCAGAGAGTGGGAGGGGGAAGGGGGAGGGGGAGAGGGCAGATG